TTTCAAAGGTAATCAATCAAGGAACACACACATCAAGGATAGATTAATTTGGTGAATTGGAATTCATCAACAATATCTAGAAATTCATACACTCAAGTATCAAAACAATAAGGTAATCATGTTTAGGGCTTCAACTAGGCCCTAGCTATGGAGTTTAGTTGCTCATACTTATTCCAAATACAAACTCGAAATATAACTAGAATGAGTTTACAGATTTGGAAATGATGAAAGCTTGAAGTCTTCAATGGTGGAAGTCTTCTCCTTTCTTCCTTGGCTGCACCTCCTTCTCCTTCCTTGCTCTTAGCTCCTCCAAAAGCTGCTCTCAAGTTGTGTAGAATGTGGAATAGCCTGATTTCCCACGATCAAAAGGCTCCCAATATCAGATTGCAATTTTGACTTCTCCTCCCTCTCTCCTCCTTTCCAGCTTTTACCTTTTAATATAAAACTACCACCTTTGATAAAGCCTTAGCCCATTGTCCCCTTGCCATGATGGAGCTTTGACTTCACAAAGATGCCAAAAGCTCAGAAAATATCTATTTTACAAATGTAATTCCTTGTTACCAAGAGTTATGGTAACAAGAAGTTAAGATGACACAAGGGAGGTAAAAGCTGGCCAAATCCGGATTTCCAGAGCTGTGGTAACATGCTGGATTGGTTGGATAGGCAATACTTGTCCAATGGAGCTCAAATTTGGATATGTTGTAGTTAACATCCATTGGAACAAGTTTCATGAAGATCTTCACCTCATCCGAGTACCAGAGCATGTTGATCCCGGGCCAAGAAGTTGACCTACGAAAATGAACAAAAACAGAATTTATAACCAATAATGCACTTTTAGCTCATTTTCATTCTAACCAAGGTAAAATCTAAGAAAACACAAAAAGGAAGTAAAAAGCTATAAAATGTCAAGAACTAACTCAAAATAGTGGGTGAATAACATGAAAAATCATGTGTAAAAATGAACCGAACAGCCTGCCTTTTTCGGTTCCACCCCAAAGGGCAAATACTATTCACTTTACTTTATTTTCTATATTTTGTATACTTAAACCATTAATTTTGATAAGCTTTTCAGATAATATTTTCGGTTGTCAGGTGTCACTATTTATTATAAAATTTTCACCTAAAATTTCAGATAACATTTTCGGATAAAATTTTCAAATTAAATTTTCAGATAAAATTTTCAAATTAAATTTTCGGATAAGATCACATGTCCATCAAATTTCAGATGAGATTTTTGGATAAGATTCTCGTTTGCCACGTGTCTTATTTTAGATAAGATTTTCATATATTTATTAAAAAAAAATTATAATCTTAGATTTCAGATAATCTTAGATTTCAGATAAGATTTTCACCTTCTAAAATTGCTCCACGTGTCCCATGTCAGATAAGATTTTCAGATATTTATTAAAAAAAATTATAATCTCATATTTCAGATAAGATTTTCATTCTCTAAAATTGCACCATGTGTCATCTCTATCTTCTAAATCCCTCTATAAAACTACACCCTCAACTCATACCTCTCACACCATATCTTCTCTATTATTTCATTTATCATATTTTACAAAACACATTCTACTCTCAATGTCTAACCTGAGGAGGGTGTTGGAGAGGCAAGAGCAAGAAGAGGAAGAAATCAGACGCAGATGTGCTGAAGAAGATCGTGAGGCTGATGAAGAGGAGGAAGAAATGGTTGTAGCGGTGTGTATGCTCAATGAATCAAGGCAACACCACCGTCGTCGTGCCCCGAATGTGGACCGACATAGACAGTATTGGGGTAAGAATCTCTTGGAAGATTACTTTATCCCAAATTCGTTATATCATGTTTCTTATTTTCGAGAGAGATATAGAATGCAGCCTCATTTGTTCCAAAAAATCATGCATGATATTTGTAATTACGACACATACTTCGTTCAAAAGTATGATGTTGTTGGGGTTTTAGGTCTTCTTCCTGATCAAAAACTTACAACTGCTTTACGGATGCTTGCTTATGGGGCATCTGCAGAGCAGGTGGATGAGATTGCGCGGATGGGAAAATCAACTATCCTAGAGTGCTTGATGAGATTTTGTGATGCAGTAGAAAATCTCTACAAGAAGGAGTACCTTCGCAAACCTATGGCTAAGGACCTCCGAAGGCTTGTACAAAAAGCTGAGGCTCGAGGTTTCCCAGGAATGATTGGAAGTATCGATTGCATGCACTGTCAGTGGAAGAATTGCCCAACTGCTTGGCAAGGAGATTATGAGAATCGAAAGGGCCAAAAAAGTATAATTCTGGAGGCCGTAGCTTCATTCGACACTTGGGTTTGGCATGCCTTCTTCGAAGCTGCCGGATCTCAGAATGACCTCAATGTGCTTGGTCAATCTCCGGTGTTCAATGATGTATTGCGAGGTCATTCCCCCCAGATCACGTACCGAATCAACAATACCATATACTCGAGTGCGTACTACCTCGCCGACGGAATTTATCCTAGGTGGACAACATTCGTGAAAATAATTCCTAATCCTCAATCCGAGAAGGAAAAAAGCTTTGCTGTCTTTCAAGAATGTTATAGGAAAGACGTGGAAAAGTATTTCGGTATCTTGCAAGCTCGTTAGGCAATTATTAGAGGTGCTACTCGGATGCTTGATGAGGACGTGTTGCGAAACATTATGATGACTTGCATCATCCTCCATAACATGATTGTGGAGGATGAGTATGATTATGATGCTCCAGAGGTGTTCGAACCCAATCCCATGAACACGGCGTTGACAAGAATTTATGAAAGGCCGATGAGACCAAATGGATAGCCAATGGAGCACGAACCGTTAATTCGGGATGGTCGATACAATAACCCCATGATTGATCGTTATTAGGAAATGCAATCTTCATATGTTCATGAGAGATGTCAAGTTGACTTGATCGAGCACTTGTGGGAGATGAAAGGCAATCATAGTGGATGAAGTCAATTAATGCTTTGTTTTGAATTATGCTTTATGTTGTGTGTGGTGTGTTTGGAATTATGCTTGTTTTTAATTATGCTTTGTTTTGTGTGTTGTTTGCAATAAATTAAGGTTTTTTTTTATAATTAAACTTTGTTTTGATGTGCAATGTTTTTAATAAATAGTCATATTATTTAATGCTTTCTTTATTGAATAAAAGGGAAGGAGAAGAGTTGTGTGAAGATTTGGTGTGGAAGGTGAATAAAATGGTTAGGTATTTATAGGGAAAAAATCAAGAATTTTTTGCTATATATTTTGTTTTTAAATTCGAATTTTTTTCAATTTTTTAAGCCAAAAAAATGAAGACCGTTAGATTTCTGGAGAAAAACCGATATGAGCGTTCGGGAAGCGCCATGTGGCGTCTTCCCATTGGGAGCTGTCAAGGCTGACTTCACGCTGACATCAGCGACTTCGAGCTAAAGCCCAATCAAGAATTGCCCTTGGTCTTGCCCGGGCTGGTGTCTGCCGCGCAAATCTCACGGCCTGGAGTTCCAGGCCGAGGGGATATGCGTTGGCACGCGGCTTCCTGCTTTTGGGTGCGGTGCGGTTGTGCGCGGGCGTGCCAGCACGGTCTACCGTGCGTCGAGATGTTGATGAGTGTAGGATGGATAAGTGGTGCGCCTGTTTGAACTCGTCTTCTAATCAAACGATTGTAGCCGAGAGAGGAACTAGTCTCGGCTGTTAGGTTCACCGCCTGAACTACAAGGCCGTTGAGTGATGGTGTTGGTGGTGGGTTTTGGGCGGTGCTCCGGCGCGTCGCTCAGGGAGCGACGGTCGTATGATATATGGGGTGAGTGAACGAACAACAAGGATGGTGCTCCGGCGCCTTGATAATCAAGGGTCGTATGATATATTGATGAATGAATTTTCCTTACAGTCTAACACTACTCCTAGGAAAGCAAGTAAAGATATTGAAAGTGCATTACAGGAAAAAATAAGTTGCTCCGTGGGAGGCTTTGGTTTGGTGTTTGAACCCTTTGAATGTAGCTTGAGCCTTGTATTTATAGGAAGAGTGACACACAAAGAAGGTTAATTTATTGACCAACCATGGTCTTTAAATTAATGGGGAACTTTATCCTACCATCACAGGTACACAAAAAGGGGTGAACAGCACTAAAGTCAGAGAATGGGTAGCCCTTACCAAGTTGACCCACGTGTCCTTCTGAAAATAGGTTTTCACCATTAAGAGCCACTTGACCGTCGTCTCTCTCAGCAAGGAACTTATTCGTGGTCAGTGGGTTTGCTGCAATAAACAGAGACACTACTTCATTAAATGAAGCCTGGGACCCCGTTGTCACGTGATGATTCGCCTTTAATGCCCTTGGCCGTGATTTTGCTCGGCCTCGACCTCGGCCTGCACTCGAGGGCGAGATGATCATGCCTTAGCATTTTTCTTTTGTCTTCAGGAAGGCAAAGCACCCTGTTGAAACGCTGCATTTCAGTTTTACGAGCAAGTGCCAGGGCCGAGAAAAGGGGCTCCTTCGGCCAGCTTATGGCCGTGATTTATTAGGCACAAACAGCTGGTGGGCCCCAGGGCTTGCCCAGGCTTCAGGCTGCGCGCTAGAGGGTGTAACTTGGGCTTGGGGGGCCTGTTGCCAGGGTTTGGGTCTAGCGGTGGAGGTGCTCTTAATAAGCTATACAGACTTATGGTTTGGCCCAACTTTAAAGTGCTAATTATGAAAAAGTGCGTTATAAAAATGTAGGGTAAATTTCACTTTACTACCAGCAAGTTTCACGAGATTTAGAATTTGTTACATTAAGTTTTTTTTGTGTCGACTTCGTATCTAAAATTTGATATTCTTACCACTTTCATACCTCAATTAGTATATTCGTCAAATCCTTCATTAATAGGCTCATAAAGATCCACATCCACTCATATTGCGCCATGTGAATGGACAAATATAAAAGATAAATAAATTAAATGAATTAATAAACCTAAAAATAAACGTTTGTATTTCCCTTCGACCTTTCACCAACAAAACAAAAAGAGACAAATCACATTTTCCTTTCCTTGTGGTTTGGCCCACTTCCCATTTTGATCCTCTTTACAAAAAAAATACAAACAGTAAACTACTCATTTTTTTAAAGAAACGATAAATTACTCTGAATTAATCTAATCTACAGGAAATGAGATTCAAATTTGGGAGCTAATCCAGATATGTGATTTTTGTGTAATTTTAGTCTTACAGTTTTGTTTACTTAACGATCAAATATGAAAGCCTAACATTAAAAAATAAATAAAGAAGAAGAAGATAAAGCCTACATTTTTGGTTGATTGCGATTTCTAATTTCTTTCTTTTGGTTGATTGCAATTTCTAATTTCTTTCTTTTTAGTATTTTTTTAAAAGATTCATACAGATGTCACAAGTTCATTGGTGGTGGGGATGGTTTGACAAAATTGCACCTAAAATTAACACAAAGTTCGACAGAATTGGACAACATCAACAATATTGGTGTTGGGGACAAAATAAAATATAGAAAACGACATTGATCCATTTTGAAAATAGATGACCAAAATGATGACTTTTGGAAACGTAGAGACCATTATGCCTGAAAACCCTGAATTAATATTCCAACTAGCTTTCACTTCAATGTGAATATTTGCTATAACACTGAACTACAACAAGTGGAGAATATTTCTTTGGGCGCAAAACTAGCAGCGGCCGCTAATCAAGAAGAAAGGACACCATCAAAGGATATATTCTTAAGATTCTCAGTAGATCTTCAACTCATCCTAGGATTTTACTTTATTTTTTTGTTTTTTCTGTTGAACATCCTAAGATTAATTTAATTTAGAGTATTTGCAGTCTATGTGAAGTCTTAATTTGTTTAATTAAGGTTATTTCCACCGAACACTCAATTTGTCCTACGTGCATACCGATTTAAGTGCCACTTAAAGAACAAATTAATTAATTAATAATATGAAGCGTTGCAATAGAGTTAAACATGCTTACGATAGCAAAGGACTCATTAGTATAGTAGTTTGGAGCAATTATTCTTCCCAAAAAAAAGGTATATTATCGCCCCTATCAATAAAAAAGGTCCTAAAAAAAAAAGTCTAAGATATATTAGCACAAAAGAGGATGTAGTTTAAAAATCACAATCAGTGGATAAAAAAGGTTTTGGGTTGGCAATGTTTATCGGCATAATCATCCTCATCACCTTCAAAACAGGACAAGTGAAAATGTCACCAAGATTAGTCAGTTTCACAAAAGGACAACCTTTTTTATTTATTTACATTTAAATAATAATAAGAAAAACTTGTAACTTGCAGTAACCCAATAAATTGAAATTGAGTTTGAGACAAGCTTTCAAACAATAATATTTGGATATATATTGCTTCCCTTCTTTCCTGTAAGGAGATACGCATTCTTTCCACGAATCACAGTTTGACATATGCAAAAATAATTCACCAAAAACACAAAAAGAAAAACTTATGCACATATGTCACACTGTTATTGATAGGGACGTATAAGCTCCTACTTACACGATAAGAAGGGAAAATATTTTCTGTAATGTTTATAACTAAAGAACCTTTTTCTTTTCCTTATGCTAGGTGCTAATGTCTCTTCATAGCCCAAAGGGAGCCATAAAACTAGAGAGTATGTATGGCTGACTGGATCTTAAAATACTTACTTCCCCACTCATCAGCCGATGAGGAATCTGAGTGTATCTTCTTTATTATGAAATGGAGCCATTGCTCCAATTATATATACAAAGATTGCTTGTCGATTCGAGTGCATCTCCTTTTCATCATATTTACGGGAAGCTAACTTTGTAGCAGATGCGATTACAGATTTCAGCCGTTCTAACTATTTTTTGTTTCTACGTTAAGGACAGACTGGGCAGTCTTGTTTGTGTCTACATCAACTTCTCCTCTTCTGTTTTTCTCCGCAGTTATTTTATTCTTCTTCCTATTTTCTTGTTTTTCTCTCTTCTTGTCAACAATTATTCTTCTCATTATCTCTTATGCATCTTTAATTTGCAATTGAGTATTATAGGTTTAATTAGGAATGAATTATAAATTGGGGATTTTGTTGAAATTAATTAGGGCTTTGATTTTACGAATTTTGTTGAAATGTTTGATTTGTTGTTGGTATTGTTGAGATGTTTTGCATTGATGATATTATGAGAATTAGTTTTATTTTTTTAGCGTGATTCATGATTACGTTGTCTAGTTTTAGTTTTTGTATTTGTTAAACTTTTATTTATAAATAGAGATGCATTCGAGAATAAAGCTCCTAACGTACCCTAACTAGGTGTATCTTTTTATGTTTATTAATGAAATTCACTTATATTGTCGAGTTTTAGTATGTAAGTTTTACTCAGACGGCATTCGAATCCCGGAACAGCCACTGCGTGCGATCTTTGATTTCCGTTGGGACTTATAATCATTCTAGTAATTTTTATTATTATAAAAACTACCAACTAATTCTAAGTAGCTGCACTGTCCATTTCTACATAACATTACACCCTATTGCCAAGTTTGCCTTTGGCTTTGTATGCGTCTCCCACCAACATGAAAAATAAAACAAATATGAAACGTACTAATTAAAGCCATAAATATGCTGTCGCATGGAATGATGTAAACTTAAAACCTATGTTGCATGATCATTAATTAACTCAATTTCCGTACATAATACAAATTTTCAAAAGATTAAGTGCTTAAAGATTTGGTTTGAATATTATCCACGTGATCCACATGAATTATTATTGTTTTGCATTGACATTAAAAAAATTAAAAATAAAAATTCTGCATCCACATTCTACATTCCACAAACTTTTAATTATTATTTAAACGTATAAAGTGCTCTAAATATTAATGCGGATGGAGGCTGGTATAATTGCAAACATTGATGAGACGTACACCTTGTTTTAAATTAATTAACTTTTATAAAAAAAAAATAAAAAAAATAAATCACAAAAACCTTCTCAGCATCCATTAACAATTAACTGTTTGCATGTAAAGGAATTTTGGTTCACCGAACGGATTTGAGGGTAAATTACTTCCCATGTAATTTTCCAAGGGATGAAAAATAAAAAATTCATTTTCCACGTTTGGTAATGTTGGGAAAGTAACCGAGAGATACCACTTTGTTTCCTTTCCAATGTTTTTTTTGAGTAGAAATGGAAAACAAAGTTTATATAATTTTTCAATTGTACCCATATTAAATCAAATAAAAAAAGAATGCATTTAATGATATATTGTAATTCTAAATTGTTAATGGGGACAAACTGATCATAAAAAATGTGTATTTAATGTTGGCTAATTTTCCCAAACTTCTACATAAGGAGAGAAAACAAAACCCAAGTTGTGACGAGGGCTTCACTCTCCCCCCTACTTTCCCATGGGCCAGACAACGATTTCCCATAGCTAGACTTACCAAACATGAAAAAACAATTTATTTCTCATCCTCAAGTCTCCTTTCCCAGGAACCAAATGGGACCTAAATTTAAATAAAATAAAATACCAGAGATTAATTTGCATAATCAGGAAGGTATCGTTGACATGGTCCATAACCAAATAATTAATTTTGCAGAGAACATCAAACTATATGTATGTGTTAATCGTAAATTAATTATGCGATCCAATTAGATTGAGCTCGATCGAGCGTGGCCCCAACACTAATGCTGACCAGGTCGGCATCAAATATCACATGCCCTATAGAAGAACAAGACATAAGTCACAACTACATGCGCTATTAAAGGTGGAAAATTTTCTCTTTATATATTTCAGATATTTGGGCATGATTCAAATGAAAATTAGATTGTCATCCATACTCTTTTTCTTTTCATTGAACCTAATTAAGTAGATTGGATTTTAGGTTTTGTCCAATTTTTAATTTTTTTTAACTTTTTGAGGTGGAAGATATGATCTCGAGATATCATCCAACAAAGTTGAGAGAAATACCACTAGATCAATGACTACATGTTACTTTTGGTTATTTAACTAGATACAATGCGTACTTTGAAACATATATATGTAATAACAAACAACTAGGTATATTATATTCATATCTAAAAAAATAAATGCTTCAGATCATTAAATTAAAAATACATAATTAACCTCATGGTTTGACTTACAGACCAGAAGTCTCAAGTTCGAACCCCCATGGCATTATAGTTGTGTGTGTGAGAGAAATTCATCTCCCTCTGTAGTTTAGAGTATCGCTTGTAAGTTGTACTCAAAACAAAACAAAAAGACATAATGAACCCTAGAAGGTATACTCAAATAATAAACTTATTTTCCTTAATTGGAACTTACCTCTACCTTTCGAACAAAAAAAAAAAAAAAAAAACTTACCTCTATCTACATATACATATAAATACAAGTATTTGATTTAGAGCGTCTACATACACACACATCCATGACATGAATTTGTATATAAATAGGGTGTTGACCTCCCAAGCCACAGGTACAAAAGCTGCAAGTAGTAGCTCATCATATATCCAGAGAAATAATGGTCGACAATAATAATAATATTGGAGCAAGTGGTGCTGCAAATCATGATGAGGACGGCGCTATGATGAAAGACCATGACCAGTTGCTGCCAATAGCCAACGTTGGGCGGATCATGAAGCAAATACTGCCACCCAACGCCAAGATCTCCAAGGAGGCCAAGGAAACCATGCAAGAGTGTGTCTCGGAGTTCATCAGCTTCGTCACCAGCGAGGCGTCGGAGAAGTGCCGCAAGGAGAGGCGAAAGACCGTGAACGGCGATGATCTCTGCTGGGCTCTCGGAGCCCTGGGTTTCGATGACTACACCGGCCCATTACGGAGGTACTTACACAGGTACAGAGAGCAAGAAGGAGAGAGACTATCATTATCAGCTAATAATAATAATAATGAAAATAATCAAGACAAGGATAACAACAACACCGAAGATCAACAACAAAGGATATTGCTCAACCATCCTCATACACAAAGACCTAATTTTTACAAAGGATCAAGTACTAATGGGCTGTAGATAAATTCAGTATGCGCGTGCGTGTGTTTGCTCAAGTATTGAACCCAAATTACTGCGTCTACTTTTTTTTTTTTTTTTTCCATAAAAGGAAAATTAATTAGTGTCATTGAGAGAGGGAAGTGATTATATTACTAAGGTTGTTTTGGAGTTTCATGGGATTAATTAGGCATGTAATTAAGATACTGATCATGTCTAGTTTAGCCATGATTTTACTGATCATTTTGCTTTTCCATCATGTGTGGGTTGTTTCTCTCTTTATTTTGAGATTTATAAATCTTAATTGGCTTTATTTTGAGATTTATTTAGAAGCTGAAGCAATTACTTTATGGGATATTCGATTGAATTTGCAGTCTATTGCAATTGAAGGTGATTCACAGGTGCTTATTAATTTTACAAAATTCAGCATGTTTATAGAGAAGCCAATATGGTCGCAGACGTGTTAGCACAGCATGGTCATAGTTTAGGACAACCTTATATTTGGTTCTCAAATCTACTTTCCTTGGTTTATCACAGAATTTTGTATGATATACGAAGTTAATTTAGGGTTTCGAAAGATGAACCTGGTTGTAATTTAGTGTTTTGGTTTCAAAAATAAAAAATCTTGAAAATTATTTGGAGTTTCTGCTTCTTGTAGTGGAGTTTCATAGGATGTATAGTTGCCAATAAATTTAAACATCGTCATTAGTCTGTATTTAGGTTAATTACCTATATATATAAGTATTAACACAAAAGTATACTAATCCAATCGAAATGATACTTCATTTTTTAGTTCATCAACTTCAATGCAACTCGTATCATGATCACCGACGCATAATTAACATCACTCTCTGTGATATATATATATATTGACTATAGGACAAGCGTCTAACGTTGGAGTTTGTTTAAATTAACCTAAAATGTGGGAGCTGCCAGGTTTGGGACCACAATATTCAGTGGCCAAAACCCAATTTAATTAGGCCATGTTTACGTGATTCATTGTATCAGGTCATCTTCCTAAACCACATAAACACAAAGGAAGAGTTAAAGAAACAATTAGGGTTTCTGGCTATATATATATATATATCCTTTAAGTGCTTCTTACAAAAGTATTCTCAAAGCAAACATATCCCAAATAATCTAAGCTAAATACTCTTTTATTTGTTTTAGTTTTTTTTGGTGATTCAGCGTAATTAGATTATAAAGTTATATCAATTTTTGTAGTGTTTCATTTTCTAGCACTTGTATTTACATGAACTTTTCAAATCTAATAGTTATGTGAAATGAAACATAGCAATTTTTATACTTGAAAGCTGAAACAATGCATCAAATATTTTACTTCTTATAATCTTATGAAACCAAAATCATCAACCTAACAATCTTCAATCATATAAAACAAATATTCCACATTCAATTGCAGTTGCTCTTGTTGCTAGTAGTGGGCCGTTGGCAATATCGACACTAGCAACCAAAACTCTCTTCTTTTTTCCTTCCAATAAAAGTGCACCCAAAACTCTCTTCTTAAATTGTTGCTACTCATTTGCTGAAGGTTTGATGCACCAACAAGAGTAGATGTTCTATAAAGCGCTAAAAATATGTTGAAGCGTTATAAAGATGTCCACGCCAACAAGAACCTACGTATGTCCCTTCACTCCATGGTTCAAGATTATCTTCAAAGGAACGAATCAACTCAACGAGAGATGCAACGTAACATTGATCTCGAACACATTAAGAAGAACATTAATAATGATGGGTCGGATATTGCCCCTCTCCCACCTTTATCAATACAAGAAACAGAAGTATATGTTGAGGTGTCCAATATTCCCAGGGAAGATGTGAAATTTTTTCTTAAAAAATAGAATCGATTGTGTTGTCCAATCCTTCCAAGAAAAAAAAAAGACTTCAAATTCACTGTGCCTTCCAGAGGTAAGAGTCACACGCTCTTCAAGCGTCACTTAGGCCGTAGGTTGTTGACCAAACATGATACAAGACATTCCTCCTATGGTACAAATTCAGAGTTATGCATGTCTACCCTTTTCATTTTGTTGACCATCTATAACCAATGCTTCATTGGTAAACCATAGTACATAAAGAAACGTAGGATTTATTATATTGATACTAACCAATTTAAGAGTAAGTACGATGTATATAGAGTAATTGATGATGTATGCTGTTTGCTAAGCTGCACAAGCCCGAGTCTTAAGGTTATCGGTCCATTTACCTTCGTGTGCGATGATACTCCTCATGATTGTTCTTCAAGTGCCGAGGAGATCACATCTTGTCATGGTATAGTTCATACTAGTTTCAACAACTGGAAGGTATCATTCATCTTATTGGTTGAGAAGAAAACGGTGTTCCACGATTTAGCCTAGGCAAAATTTCATGAAAATGCACTACACCAAAACTTGTATTCAACAACGGGCAATGAACATTGCGAATGCCTTTTGACAACGCACTTGCGAATGTCGTGTACCTTGATGTTGTTAAAGTCTTGCACTTTTAACAACGTCTTTTTGATGTTGTCGTACATATTAATGCATGTTGTTTAAACTTATTTCACAACGTTCGAAAACTTATTTGACAACCCTCCAAGGATGTGGTAAAAACTACCACCCTCTTATTCTTTTAACATCTTATGAGCGTTGCAGATCATGTTTTCACAACACACTTTCAACGTTGTCATATTGTTATCCACAACATGAATATGAGCATTGTCAAATCCTGGTTTTTATATTAATAAATTAAATTAAATCTAAAAATCATATTCATCCAAAACATGTTCCAAGTTTAAGTCATTCATGCAAAATGTCTAATATCATCCATATGACTTCCAACAATATGATTCATAAATAAAGTATAATTCAGATCTATTAAAAAAAAGTATTAACACTCATATAATCATACAAATGTCATATGAACTCCAATACCATTGCAATTTATACAAGCTTTCCTTGTGCTTCCAACTTCACAATCAAACTGCAAAAGCAGCTTGCAAAGTAAGCTTGCTTAACAAGGTGAGCTTGGATAGATGATCAACAGAGGGAGTTCCACAATTGCAAACTTGCTTCATGTCAGCTGATCGGTTCATAATTGTATATCATTTTGTACCCTTCTAGCTTATGATTTGGTTATGTTTTTGAGTTAAACTTGTGCTTTTAATCCTTTTTGTATTTATCTTTCAGCTTTAGGTAACAATGATGGCTTTGGATATGAAATGATGTAATCCATGTATGTTAAAGCCTGATTTGGATAAAGGGATGAAGAGCTTAAAAGACAAACTCATTTTGGCTACAGCCCCCTGCCAGTCCAGTTCCGTAGGTCATATTGTAAGCTTTGTTTCAGCAACCTACACAGCTCGGATGAGGCAGCATTCTTCATGAAAGTTGTTCCAATGGGTGTGTACTATAACATATCCAAAATTCAGCTCCATTGGATAAATCTGGAGTCCGTTACCTAGCAAACACAGAACCATGCTCAGGATGGATCTTATCAGCGCGGAAAATGAGTTAGCAATTTGTTTCGGCCTTAACTTCTTCCTC